CCCAATGTCTTGCTCCTGCTTTGCAACTTTCAGGTCCTGAATCTGTTGCATGTAACAAAGTCGAGCATATAATTAATCACCATAGGATATATTTCTTTGTTGCGAGAACTTCATGAGTATTCAATATGTCATCAAACAATAATTTCCATGAATACAATCAGAATAGGTGTGCAATTTTTGTGACATCTCTACGTACCATGAAGTAAAGGTAGGGAAATAGCGACTGGATGGGGAACGCTGGAAAGATAACAAACTAGGGTGTTAGTTAGAAAGCATCAAAAATTAAATTAATCTGATATAGCTGAACTAAAAAAAATAAAACATACAAGAATATGTCCAGTTGTGACAATAAAAAAATATGAGTTCTGTAAACGAACTGCGAGACTCTCTAGAAAAAACCATGAATGAAATAACATGTTGGGCACCATGTTGATCTTAGTATTCTGAAGTCCGAAATTGTCAGGATCTCGTCTCGTTTACTGTATATATCTCCTTTTTTTTTGCCGTGTACATGTTGTGGCGGGCAGCCTCCGCTGAGTTATTGCCTTCAGTTGGGTGCGGCCCAATTATTTTGAGATTGATTTTTTCTTCAACTGTTGTTAATTTTGTGTTTGGCCGTGCAGCCTATACTTTTTCTTTTTTGAATGAATATAATATGTTTTTGCCAATAGGATCAGATCCATAATAAAGATTCATCGAGAATACAAAACACCTCAAACATAATAAAAAACACATGAGGGTATATGGACCACCAAATGACCATTGTCGCTCCCAGAAAGAGCCGCCGACACACACGTAACCAACTTTTCTTGTTGAGGATTTCCTTTTACATTTTGTATCGAGTCACACACAACTTCTGGGTGAGACATAAGGAAGGAAAAAAAACTCATGTAGCCGTCGTCTTTTTAGTATGTCTCTTTTTAAGCTCAAAAATCTAATAAGAAGCCCAAATAGAGAAAGCAAGTTCCAAATAGGGTCGCGGCTGTACGTTTTTAAAAAGAATCAAATTTCCAAAACTGTGGGAACTGCAAGTATTCAAATGGGGGCGCTATTCAAAAAATTGGTACACCTTCTTTCTGTGCTCACCAGACAAGTTTATAAATGGGATTTTTTTTTTTTTGCGGGTAGAGTTTATAAATGGGA